ATTGGTCTCCCAAAGAACCCAGCAAGAATACTATCTAAGAAAAGTAATGATATCTGTAAAGGTGAACACGTACTAGTTCTTGGGCTTCCAACCAGGCAGCAATCATTCTAGCCTCTCGGCTTTAGAAGGATCCAAGGGGCCAGCAGGTGGTGTGGTGGTTATGGAGCTTTATCCCACCGGTGGCTTGAAAATCTCCAGGGCACGTGTATGCATGCCCAAAATCCTGAGAGGAGAGAGGAAAAGAGATCGCGACATGGCCATCCCCCTTCACTCTTCCTCTTTCTCTTTCTGGCAAAATCATACACCCTATGGCAAAAATCTAAAACAAACAAACAACCCCTCCCCCCATGAACATCCTTGCTGTCAAACAACCCCTCCCCCCCAAACATCCTTGCTACTTCTCAAAAGCAACCACAGTGCAGAAATACTGTTGGGTAAGAGGACCAACATTCATTTGTACTAAGATGCAGCAACCTCATTTTAGCTTTTTTTTTTTTCTGTTTGAATAATTTTATTTGAGTTTATTTATTAATTTATTTTAATTTGACCAGAGATGGACAGAGTGAGAGAGAGAGAGAAAGTGAGAAAGCAAACCACCAGATCCAGGACTGGAACCATGGTTGGCCACGTGGGAGTCGAGTACCCTTAACTACCCTGCCACCTGCCAGCCCCTCATTTTAGCTTTTATGTCCTTTTTAAAAGACTTTTTGCACTAACATTTGCTTTAAAACAATCTCAGAATTTTAAAATGCTGAATGAAAGAAACCACTGATTTGGGGTTGTAAAAAGTCCTCATCAAAATGGAGTCACTTGTGTCAACTTGTGTCAAATCCTGACAGTCCAGTTAGGAGCTGGAGAAGGCCGTGAAGTGGGTATTCTCGTGTATATATGCCTGACAAGATCTAAGACAAAAAGCTGCAAAAACCACAGCCTTGCACAAAGGCCACTGCACATACAAAAAATTCTTCTATTGGGATAATACTCTGCAACTGCTTGTCCAACCTTGGACCGACATCCCCTTGTTACTGATCCTTGTAAGCCGAGGATAACTGTTTCAAAACAGTCCCCTCATTTTACCCTTGAAAACCCTTGTCTTCATCTCCTAATATACACCAACATGTATTTCCATTGCAATGTCCATTCCTGAATAAGTACCATTTTTGTTTACAGTCTGTGTGTGTGTGAGTTTAGGTTCACCACCTCGCAGGATCAAAATCATATACTTAACACCAATCTGTATTTACAAGATGCTAACCAACCAACCCCAGTCAGGGCCATTCGAAAACAAATTTGCAATAGGAATTTTCCAGATAAGTATGGTGTTTTATGCTTTTGTAATGCTATTCTTTGGCACAAGTACAACGAATAGTTTATGTACAAATGTGGTTTACCTAGACTTGTGGCTGTAATTTTTCACATTTTGACACTAGGGAAAGCAAACACGCACCATTCCCATTTATTCCAGAATGGGAGAAGAGTGTGGCAAAGAAACGTTGGAGAGGTTTAGAGGACGTTGTGAATAGGGTGTCCTCCAACAAGGCCATCCCATTCGTTTAATGCTCTAACTCAGGCACTAAGGAAAGGATCTCTCTTGTTATTCTTTTTTGTTTTAATTTTGCTTTGAGCAGGTACAAAGAGGAAGAGGAAAGATTAGGGCAAGAAATGCCGATTACGATTCAGATTTACTTTTATTTCAACTCACGTGTTCAACTCCAGGCGTGGCACCAGCCTGGCCTTTCTTCTACCGTCACTGCTCTGGTTACCAACGCCCTCTGTTCCACCACATTGAACCTATTGTCATTCAGAGCATGTGAAATCCAGCAGGGTGAGTTCTACCAGTTAGTTTCCAATGTGTTCTTGTGTGTGTGGTTTTGTTTTGTTTTGTTTAACCTAAAGCTATTACTTATTAAAAATAAAGATATATTAATTAGAAGGGCCAGCAGGTGGCGAGCTGGATCCCATATGGCTGAATCCATGGTTCGAGTCCTGAACTTGGAGGATTGAAAATCATGCCAAGGGACCAGCAGTTGACATAATGGCTATGTCTCTGGACTCCCATGTAGTCAACCGCAGTTCGAGTCCCGGACCCGATGGCTTAAATTCACTCCACTTGTGCGTGTGTGCCCAAGATCCTGAGAAGAGAACTGCCAGGCATGTGTGTGCATGCCCAAAGTCCCAAGAGAAGAATGGAGAAGGGATTGTAGCATGCCCACCCATCCTGGAGGGTGATTTCTCACTTTCCCTCTCTCTCTGTCTTTCTGGTGAGTGCATATGCCCTATAGCAAACATCTAATATATGTAGATGTGTGTGCATATATATGTGTGTATACACATACACAAATTAAAGTGGTTATATATAAATATTGAAATATCTGACCTTTGCAGATGCATGTATTTCTTCTAGTGCCTTTACTTACTTATTTATTTGTTTGTTTATTAGGTTTTTGCCTCAGGATGTGTGCACTTGCCAAAGAGACACAGAGAGATCAAGGGAGGGAAAGTGAGAAACCACCCCCAGGGGGACTGCCAATTGCAATCCCTTCTCCTCTGGGTCTCAGGATTTTGGGCATCCACACACACATATCTGGGCATGATTTTTCAAGCCTCCAGGTCCAGAAATCGAACCATGGTCAGCCACAGGAGAGTCTAGTGCCTTAACCACCACACCACCTGCTGGCCTCTAATGCCTTTATTTTTCTGCCAAGGATTTTTGGTTTTGTCAAATTTGCTTATCCTGTTCTTCAGTCACTTGCTGGGTTCTTTTTTTTTTTTAATTTTTTTTTTTTAGCCTCTTAAACATCTGTAACATTGTTTAAGATCTCTTTTAAATTGGTGTATTTTCTCTAACATTTCAGTCTGAACTCTTTCTTGAAGGCTCATTTTCTGCCAACACTTGCGATTGTCAGCCGTGGCTCCCTTAGGAGGAGCTATTCGCCCTGAGCGGTACTCTGGAGGCCAGGCTGTGGAATGCAGGATTGGTTTGTTTTTATGCTTTAAAATAATTTTAGGTTTAGGGTAAAGCTGCAATATGATGCAGAGGATTTCTGTAAGTACTTTTTTTAAGAGAGAGTGTAGAAGTGGACATAGGGGAGAGAGAGAGCAAGGCGTTCTGTTTTCACAGTTCCCGTGCCAGCCTCCCTGTGAGCTAGGACTCCAGCTGCACACTACCGCACCATCCTATTAGGTTGGACCCCAAACCTCCCGTGCAGCCTTAGCCCACACACGGGAGCACCTCCCATTTGCACCACCGTAACTGGGCCTTTAGGACACCTGTTCCATAGCTTCCCCTATTACTAACGCGGCAACTATCGTGCGGTTAGTAAAACCAAGAAACTGTTAACTAAACTGCAGATTCCAGTTTTTAAAATAATTATTTATTTTATTTATTCATTCATTTTTTTAATTTGACCAGAGAGAGACAGAGGGTGAGAGTGAGAGAGAGAGAGGAAGTGAGAAAGCAATCCACCAGATTCAGGACTTGAACCCTGGCCAGACATGTGGGAATGTCCAGCGCCTTAACCACCACACCACCTGCTGGTCCCACGGCAGATTCCATTTGGATTTCATCTTTGTTTTTTTTTTTTTTTTTACTAGTGTCTTTTTGTTGCTTTTGTCATAGTCAATCTAGAATCCTATCCAGGATTTCACATTTCATTTAGTTGTTACGTTCCACTGCTGTTTCTTTTGCTCTGCTAAGTGTCAAGGGGTTCTGATATTCTTGGGTTTCATAAACAGCTCTGGATTGACCTCTCAAGCTCACATGTGATCTTTTCATTCCGAGACGCTTAGTGACTGCCTCAGTTCGACCAGTGGGGAGCAGTAAAAGGAAACAGGGAGTAGGAGGGAGTGACGCCCCTTCCATAAAAGAAAGTGAAAATGATTCTGCAGATTCCAAACTCTGAATAAAATACGTTGTGCTTAAATGACTTAAAAATTAAACTACCGAGGGGTTCACCCCAAGGACACAAAATGAGAGAACCCAAAGATCATCTCACCCACCTTTTCAGTTTCACAAAGCAGAAAACGATCATGCTGCAGAGGAAAGAAATGGGAACTCTCACTTTGACACCAATTCGTAGCATTTATTGACATGTCCATTTAAAATGCTAGGAAAGCTGTATAAATTGTAAACATGGAAACCAAACACTTGCATAAATTATTTCAAAAACTCTACAGCACATTAGAAAACAGTGCAGCTAATTGAAGGGTCGAAACATAACTGACAAATAGAAGGGAGGGCTCGATTACTAAATCATACACCCACACTGAGATTTAAGTGCCCGTCTGAGACCAGCAAACCATGATTGTCAAGTTCAAGTTGCAGTATTGATGCCACGGCTGGCTTCAACTTGCTCTGCACATTTTCGTACATTAATACCCATAACTAGGAATGAGGATGCAGGAAGTCGAAGAAATGGACTTTGACAAAGGAGGAGACAAGTGGGCACCCCGAGCAGCTCTGCTGAGCACCTGTCCTGTGCCAGGCAGCTCCCTCTGCCCGCTCCCCGTGGGGCTCTGGGAAGGGCAAGGTCGAGGGCAGTTCTACCTTCTACTCCCCTTTTCTGAAATGAGTCTTCTGGTGCTCAGAGCGACTGAATCAGTGAATGGAGCCTCAGTTCCTCCAGTATCCCTCTTCTTTTCCAGCTGCACGCGCAAAACCACCAGGTGTCTGCTTCGAACTTGGCCCTGTACTGTTGCCACCTTGCACTCAGGGAGTCAAGGTCTGAATCCCTGGAACCTGGTGGGCAAGAGACTATTCAGGATGCTCCAAGCAGTCCAGACAGGTTCATGCAGTCAAGGACTCGGAAACTCCCATCACTCGGAGTGTTACCTCTGCCCCTTCTCCTACTCACTC